TATTCATTTGATTCTGAAAAGGAGCTAAAATGACCAAATACATGTAGTGCAGTAAAAAGTACACGATCTACCTCTAGACACAGCAGTATGACGTAATAAAACATGAAAATACTCAAAATACAGATACCTCAAAATTGTACTTTAATACAGTAACTGAGTAAATGTACTTGGTTACTTTCCACCACTGATCAGTGACATTTCAGTCCTGTTTTTTTAATATTTACACCCAATGATCACTTTATTAGGTACGACTGGGTACAATCCAACACACCACGCTGCACCTCTCCACATCCACCCCGTCACTGACATCTCCACGCCGCTTGTTGTTTTTGCATCTTGTAGATGAACTGAGTTCATGAACGTTACTGAATGGTGCTTCTTACTCACAGCGCCGCACCAGGTCCTCTCCATTCGTCTGCCTTTCACATCAGTGTTTATCTTAAATGCAACACAATTCATCACAGTTTCAGAACGTTTATCTTTAGTCTCACCCAATGAGCTCGACCGGCTAAAACAGATGTTTCAACAGAAACGTTCGACTGTTCTCACACATCAAACCTTCTCTCGCGTTCTGAACTGCACCCGAGTGTCCTGGGAGGAAAGTTATGAACCTTATGTAACGGGACGTAAAGCGACGACACACAGCCCGACACTCAGACATAACACAGCGTGTGACCTTTGTGTGCGCTGGAGGCTGTTTGACTTGAAGAGAAGGTTCTGGCACAGGGAAGGACTTAGCTAATGCTTCGGGTATGTCGACATGCCACGGCACGCTCGTTTTCACTCACACACACACACACAGGGCCATCACTCTCGTGTTTGACAGCTGTGTGTGTGTATGACTGTGCCGTTTTTCTGCCTCTGACAGGTTTATTGAAGCAGGGCAGCAGCGCCTTGTGCTTTCTCTTAAGGAGCCTGTTTTCTCTCCTGAAGGATCCAATTAATCTGAGAGGGGACGTGTCCGAGCCAGATCTTCTCACACGCACTTACGTGTGTGTGTGTCTTGAATACATATAAACACACACTCACCACATTAATTTTAACATAAACAGAGACACTAAGTAAATTGTGTGGATGACAAATTATGTCAGGCAGGACAACCCTGGCCTGCCCTGCAAGCTGCATGAATTATACTCATGGACCTGTGTGTGTGTGTGTGTGTGTAAGAACATTTAAAGGGCTACTGCATTTATCAAACCGTGTTTGATTGTGTTGTGGTCAGCATAAATCTCTTCATTTCCCTCTGCACAGAGCCCCTGGGGAAACCCCAGCCCTAACTGCGCTAAGCACAATCACATGCACATGCACCTACTCCCTTATACAATCTCAGCCCTCTCATCTACACACACACAGACACACACACACACACAATCTCAGCTCTTATGTGAAAACTAAAACAGTGCAGGGGCTGCAGCCATTTGTCTTGTGCAGGTTTCATCAACTTCTCTCCTATACAACACATACATGTGCCGTCTCCCGCCAATCTTCTCATGTGAACACTAAAAATGTGCATGCATTTGAGTGTGTGTGTGAGACAAAAGAGCAGAGAAGTTGCTGTTGGGGCCTGTTATCCCTCAGGTCTCACAGAGAATGGACGCCACCCATTTTCACCTTGCGTAACCTGCTCCTGTCTCTGCGATGTCACCCCACACAGTTAAACAATGGCCAACAACAGCCATTTATGTGTGTTCCTGTGACAATTTTTGTCCTCAACACCCGGAAAACTGCTGCCAGTGCACAGGAAGTGATGTGTTTTGTGTTTCCCGCAGCTGCAGCGATGCTTTGCTCAGAAAAACTGAGAATTCAGATGTGCATCTAAAGAAGAACGTGTTATTTGACTGTATTATTCTGTGGTGCACGTGACATCTACTGCACGCCTGCCTGCCTGTCCTGGCAAAGGGGTGCCTCCTCAGTTCTCTTCCACGGTTTCCATACAATTCAGCCGTCTAAGGACAGAGGGTGCACATTTTGAGTGACGTATCACAGTTGGACTAGGTGAAGCAGGCAGATCTGATTCAGCTTGAAGGTGGCGTGAGGCAGTTTGGAAGGTGCACGGGTAAAGAAGTTAAGAACAACATGGCTGTATTTTAGCTGCAGACAGTCTGTAACACATTGTGTATTATGTGTTATCACTGTAATCCCACAGTGTGGTTGTGGAAAACACCACTCTGGCGCTGGACCAGGCCGAGCTGTAACTCATCCTTCCACGTTCATCTGTCACTCAGATGGAACCATTTCTGACCTATTCTTCCTTCTTGATAGAATCTGTTCACAATAAGAAAATCACCTGCGACCACTTCATCCTGTAACAGTAATGGTGCCGTTTTGGCATCTCGGCACAGTCACACTTCAGCAGGTCCCAACTCGGCTGCTCAGACGCAAGAGGGAGGGGGACAAGGAGGCCGACGCCAGATGGCCTCAATCTGTGACGAAGGTTCCTGCAACCTCCAGTAGAGAGAGGACCATTTACAGCTATAAACAGTGAATAAGACCTTCGGCTGACTCGATGTAACCTGTGTGGAAACAGAGGAATAGGTGCAGCGCGGCAGGAAGCAGGAGCTGCTGTTACAAGTTACCTTTGTTGCTGCAGGTTCAAGAAGCACAAATGTCAAACTATGTGCAGCTTCGCAGTGCATTTAAAACAAATGTTAAGCTGCTTCGCTCGCGCTCTCTCTCTCTCTCACACACACACACACACACACACACACACACGTATCTGTCAAGCTGGAGTTGTGGAAATAAGGGAGACACTCTGCTCCGTTAAGTCGGGTGGAAATCTTATTAAAACTGAAGTAAAAAAGAAAATAAGGGAGACTCCTGGGAAAGAAGAGTGTGCTGGCAGCTCCAAACAGTCGACCCTGCTGTCGAGAGCTCAGCCAAAAACAACAGTCCAACAGAAAAAATGTCTTGAATTCCATGAAAACCATAACAAAAACAGCAGCGGGACGACCTTGGCTCCTCTGGTTACACGCTGGCTGATCGAGTGCCGGATTCATGCGGTTTATTGCAATTAAATGGGAACATTAGGAACATTTGCAATTACTGTGTAATTATCATGTAATAGGGCGGCAGTGTTATTACAAGCATGGGACTGAGATCTCACTTGGGTTTGGTTAATGTAATGTGTGGGGATTTGACACTGCAGAGCGCCATAAAGCTAAATGACCCGTGTCGTACAGTGGTGTGTTATTGGATGGAGGCTGAGTGTGTGTGTGTGTGTGTGTGGTGCAGATTCGGAGAGAGAAGGTCAATGTGTGGGCAGAATCAAATGGATCTCGTTTTAAAAGGAGTGTTTAAACGGCCAATCTGGGCTAGAACAGTGGTTGGGTCGCTTCCACTCCACACAAGCACATCAACAGTTTTGAGCTGGTTTCAGACAGAAATGTCTTCCCAGCTGAGAAGACGCTGCTGCTGCTGCAAAAACACATCCACTACAGTAAATCCACACTTCTCATTTCACGTGAAAATATTTCCACCTCCCAGTGAAGGCACAAACGTCTTCAGCTATCTGCGATAAACTGCACTCTGCTACTTCTCTTTTCCATCCATCAATCATCCCAACACTCCCTGCTGCGAGTTGATTTCATCTCTGACAGCCTGTGAGTGGAGTGTGTGGGCTCTGCCAGTGTGTCACATTAACGCTTCATCAGAGCCCTGCCCTGCCAGCACCGCCTCACTTCACCAGACCTCCAGTACCTCATGCTCCACATTACGAGCACGACACTGAAGCCACATTCAGCGAAGAGGGCGAGGGGAACACAGCTGGAATATTATTGTCCGCAGTGTTTACCTCTGAAAAAGAAGCTAGAAAAACTGTAACTGTATCTCTGAGTGCAGCTACATGACTTCATGGGGATGTAAGTAACTTGATGAGGGCGTTTGTCAGACTTTCCATTTTCCAAAAGACACAGCAGGCCTGTTTCCTACACACACACACAAAACATGGTTGGCACTTCTGACCACAAAACTGTAGACAAAGATGCTGTGTTATCTGTTTTTGCCCAAAGTTATTTCAAGGCTTCCACATTTCTCATTGCAGGAGCAGACGTCACTGTGCAGGCAGTGAAAATAAAAAGGAAAATCACCAGCTCAGCAGGGAATAACATGCACTGTAGCTGATCTACAGGAACACACAAACACACACGGCAGGTAGAGAGGGATGTGAACAAGCATATGGGGGGGGGTTCGCCTTCTCTTTATTGGCCAAACACATCTGAAACATCCAGTCTGCTTGTACCATGCACACAGTAACCTCTCACACACACATTCCCCAGTGCACTGAAGCAGCAGTGGGAATGTTCAGCAGAACTGGTACAAATGTAGAAAAAGAATTCTGCATCAGCTCTTTGCCAAATGTTCCAGGAAAGTGGCATTTACTCTAAATCCTGCAGACTGAAACACAGCCAGCCTTCGCTCTATCAGCCCTTTAAGGTCACAGCTTTAGCAGCCCCACTCTCCCAAGCACGCGCGTGCACACACACACACACACACACACATACATACTAACTTCAGAATTGATTAGAACCTTTATTCTAAAAGCTGAAGCTCCATTAAGAGATTTTTTTGACATGATCATCAAAGCAATCCAAAACCACTGCACCCCGACCTGCACACCGGTGCATCAGAATACACGCAACAACCTTCAAGACTCTGCGCAGTTTGTGCCTTGAACCCCGACGTAGTGTGTGTGTGTGTGTGTGTGTGTTGGAAAGTGCCAAGTAATTTTCCGCTAATGCGTTGGACCCTGCAAAGGCTGACAGTCCTTAACACGATTCCATCCTTTCACATTTGAAACTTGTCACAGCTTTAAAGCAGCTACTCCTTCACACCAAATCTACATCTGGCTCCTTTTTCCACAGGACACCGCAGCGATGACCGCACACACCAACTGTGCGCAATTTTGCACCGCGTAATTTCAAGTTAATATTTAATCATTTGAAGGTTGCGCTTTTGAGGCAAACACGATAAAGCAGTGTAGCAGTCTGACATCATATACTCACTGTGGTGCGGATGTAGGTTAATGGCCGATGGCAGGAATTTTCCAGAGTGGAGAGGCGGCGGATGACTCGCGCCCAAGTGACCGGGCGAGGGTGGGATCCTCCCGGCTGCTGCTGCTGCTCCGAGTCGGTGAGACTCCATTGCGAGCCCCGCCAACAACGGAGATGGTACGTGGACGGATCGGGATGGTCCAAAATCTCTGGCATCCATTATCCACAGCGGGGAAAGTTGTAAGAAGGAACAGTCCGTTCGGATAGGCCCCCTATTCCGAATATAATAACGTCTTTAGCTTTCCAGGCGATTCCGGCTCCTTTTCGGCCATTCTCCACACCTAAAAAACACAACAAGGGGGAAAACAAATCGCTTGATTCACAATCCAAGTATAGACCGAACAAACTGCTGGGAACTGCTAGTTTTAGGATTTGTCCTCTTTCCAGCGAACAGGCGGCCCATATGTGCAGTGACGCAGTTTGGAAAACCACTTCAAAACTAAACGTTGGATACCGGCTGCTCGACGTCAAGACCACACGAGCTGCTCTCGGTCCTCGGTCTGCAGGTCTTAACCCACCGTAAACTTAAATCCACAATATTTT